GGAAAATGTTGGTAGATATAGGAATTCTGCAGTTGAGTGAGTTCGTAGGTCAATGACAAAGTCTTGTAGGTGAAAAGAGGCAGCTTTCCACTGGTATTTAATAGTGGGCTGACGTTCTCGACAGCACTTTAGTAGATAGTTCTTTGGTTGAAAGTGGTTCCGAAATTGACTGGTGCTCTCTATCGCCAACCTCACAGACAGTGGGCCAAAATCAAGATTCTCCAAAATTTATGGAGATTTGGGAGGCTCAGAAGGGTCAGGGACTTTTCCCTCCAAAATCATTATACAAATTTCCTGGCCCCTTCACTGGTCAGAAAATATATTCTTATCTCTGATAAGAAACAATGCTTTGGGAGACAATTTGTAATGAAAAAGGTTGGATTGAAGAATCTGTGAGGTTTCCCCCAGACTTTATGACACCAGGGAAAGAATAATGGTGGTGGAATTCCATTTTATATTTTCCAGCTCTCTTGTTTATTCAGAAAATATATTCAAAATTCTGATAAGAATCAAGGCTTTGGGAGCCGGTTTTGAAAGTAAGAAAAAAGGTTGAAGATTGGAAAAATAGGCTAGAATGTGAAGTTGTAAAACATTGTTTTCAAATTAAATTCCAATAAGTTATCATTTATTCAATTATCAATATTTGAGAAAAATATTTATAATTACTTTTTATTTGATGCTTTAATTTTTCACTTTCTTAAAAATATATTAAATATACAAAATGTTAATAATACATTAGGACATACCTAAGACTGTTTATCCATAGGTTAAGCAGCTTTGTTTACAACAGTTGAAATATTTTACTGTTGTTTATATATTTTATGTATGCCTGAATGTAAAAATAGTATTATTACTGGCAGACTCATCAATATCCCACTATTATCTGATATTAGAATGAATGATGGAACCATTTCAGCATTAACAAGAGATTTGTAATATATCTATAACACATTTGTCCACAAAATCATTATTTTTTTATCTTCCAACAATTCCTAATGGAATACTTAAACTTTCTTTTCATTCTGCCTTCCCTCAAAATTTGAATTAAACATTCCTTCACAGATCTGAGTAGGTGATACATTTGATTATATTCAAAAATTTCTTTATCTTTCATCATATATTGTATTCAGTAACCAGTGAATAATTGCACACATTAACACATGTATATACACACTGGCTGGGCTATATTTAATAAGAGAATGAATTAAAAATAAAATACTGAAAGTATAAATAAGTAAATAAGTGTAATCTTATGACTAATTAAAATATTAAAACATACAAAAATTGCATAAGAAACCAAGAAAAGAGCTATTATGTCATATCTATCCTCCTATATGGGAGTGAATGCTGGACAATATTATACTCTACTTCATTTTAAATCTCTTTCAGATTCACTTTACATGTTTGCTGGAAAAGAACACTAAGAAAGCAAAAATAAAAATAAAGTTGCTTTCTGCAAAGGGGTTCTGAGCATCATAATCAGCTCACAAAACAAATCCCCTCAAAGAAAAAACAAAATATATAAAAGGAGCCAATCACTAATGTTGCCACTAAAGCAAAAATATGAAAAAACCCAATGAGTCATGATGCATCAGATCTGCTTTTAAGAATGCCTCTCAAAACACTAAGCAGCTGTGGTCAACGTCACCACTAACCAGTAACCTCAGTCAATTGGCCTATTACATACATCAACTCCAGACTCTCCCCTTTGCTTCCTTTGACCACAAAGAGACATTACTTTTATTTTATTCAAAATATATTTAAAAAATATTTTACTCATATCACAAAAATTGTGCTCACTAAATCTTTACCAGTTAATGTGAATTTTTTCTCCAAGAGATTTCTTTCTATTTGTTGTATAAGAGTAAGTGTTGTTGCTGACACTGTGGTTTGAAACTAGATCACCAGTGAGTAACACAGTGTTTCCATTATTAAATAGATCATGTGAAGTGAATAAATAGGAAGTAGTGTGATGACTATATGCACACTGTTCACTCTTCTTGTCTATTCACTATTGTGATCACTGTTCACTCTTTCTTCTTATCTATCCACTATAGCTGTATGTTCACTCTCTCTACTCTACTACTAAACGAATTATGATTCTCTTCTGATCATTATACTATTTGGTGATTACTACTGAACAACTGATACTAGTGTGAATATTATTGGAAGACATTACTACTAGTACTGGCATCTACAAGGTTTTGACTACAACAAGCATTTTTTTTGAAGTGATAATGAGCTTTCATTTGACATAACAAAAGTGACAAGCGAAGCTGTCCAACATCACAAAAGTGGCGACAAGGATTTGCAAAGATTCCTTGAATTTACACAGATGGAAAAAAATTAATCTGCAAAAAGTTCAGTAAGAAAATGGAAGAATTAAAGACCCTTATGGCTCAAATGTTGCAACAACAGAAGCTACAGCAGGAACTACAATTACAGCAATAGAAACAGCATCATGAACAGTAGCTGCAATTACAATTACAACAAGAAAAGTTTTTCGAGTTGTTCAGGGAAAAGATTAAACTTTTTAGGAAAATTCAGCTGTAATGTTTCATTCATCAGAAAAACCAGAAAAGCAGTAGTATTTGTATCGAACAACACACCTAATCTGTTTGGTACAGATTGGATGGCATTGTTTGATCTGTGGGATGTACCTATTAACATGTTTTGTAACAGTATAAAAATTGTTGCCAATTCTAATACAGCAAATGAAAAGTTAAAAAGTGAACTGAAAAAAAATTTTCAGAAGTTTTTTCTGAAGGTCTTGGTACATGCACAAAAGTAAAAGGCAAATTTCAGTTGAAAGACAAAGTAACACATATGTTTAAACCAAAAAGAAGTGTACCATTTGTGGCTGTAGATCCAATCAACAATGAATTGGACAGGCTGGAGAAATTGGGAGTAATATCGAAAATAGATTATTCCAAATGGGCTGCACCGATAGTCTACGTTAAGAAGCGGAATAACATAATACGAATGTGTGCTGACATTTCGACAGGACTAAACGAAAGTTTAAAACAGCATAATTACCCATTACTTAGTCCAGAAGAAATTTTTGTAAAACTGAATGGAGGAAAATCTTTCTCAAAGTTGGACATCTCAGATGCATACTTACAAATAATGGTGGATGAAGACTGTACAAAATTGCTATTCACATTGTTATATAAATTCAACCATTGTGCGATGGTGTACTGATGTATGCTGAGTTATACAAGCGTTTTTACAAAAATGAAAGTTGAAAGAGTTTTATGGAGGTCATCCAGGGATTTCAAGGGTGAAATCTTTAATGAGATGCTAAACCTACTGGCTGAATATGAATAAAGATATAGAAAATGTGGTAAGATTATGCAGAAGGTGCACTCTGGCAGCAAAGTCACTACCTATATAAGTTCAACCTTGGCTAGAATTTGTACTGACTTTGCTGGGACAATAAATGGTGTGTACTATCTGGTAGTAGTAGTTGCTTTATGAAATGGCCAGAAGTACTTAAATGCAGAAGACTGACTACCACAGTAACTATTAATTTCTTGCATGAAATTTTTGCGAGATTTGGTGTTCCTGACTCAATCATGTCTGACAATAGTATGCAATTCACATCCAGTGAATTCAAGTTCTTTTGCAAGTCACTAGCAATTGAACACATTACTACTCCTCAGTATCACCCTAGATCGAATGGAGTAGCAGAATGTTTTGTTGAAATGTTTAAGAGGAGTTGGACCAGATTATGACTCAAAAGTTTTTAAGTGTTTACCGTATTACACCAAACCCAAACACTGTGTTGGGAATGTCACTGGCAGAATTGATGTTCACTAGAAAAATCAAGTCCATGGATTCTTTAAATGAAAGAAATTGCCAAAGAATGTTTAAAAGGATTAGAAAAAGTGCCTTCAGCTTAAGAAATATGCCACAGTTTGCTATATTGAATTTAATGATAACCTGTTTTTGTATGAACTCAATAGAAATAGGACTTGAAGAATCATAGCTTAAGGCCTGGATTCAAGTTATTCAACAGTTCAATAACATCTGCAATAATTTGGAAATGTGCCCAGAAAATGTTTGGAAATGTGACTTGGAAAATGTTTCTAATTTAATAAAAGCCAATCATAAATCAATTGTGAACATCAACCTACCCTAGTATGGATGCATTTCATCAATTTGAGGTAAAGTAATGACTGCTGATAAAAAATGATTATTTTACAAATTATAAAGCAATGAATTTCCATTCAAGGAATTTGGGTAAGATTTTGATGAATTTGATCCATTTTGTGATCACTCAAGGTTACTATTACAGCAAACATTTACTATCAGCAATGTTAAAGAAAAAGAACTAGGTTTAATCAGTCACAAAGATGTGATGTTCAAATATTAAATCATGTTCCCATACAACAAAGAGCACATTTGAAAAGATTTCAGCCATAGAAAAATTTCACACACTCCCTATTCTCTTGATATCGATTCATCTGATTACCACCTACAGAAATTTACAGAACCATCTTGATGGTTAATGGATTAGTTCTTAAAACACATAAAGAGGTAAAAAACGCACTCCCTCAATTCTTTTCTTCCAAATCAAAATACTCTTACAAAAACAGATTTATGATATTTGTGAACAAATGGAAAGAGCCTATTGATAATGATGGAATCTATATTAATGAATAAATTTTAATTAAACAAGAATTATTAACATTTTTTACCCTTAATTCAGACATTACTCATAAGATTACTTCCTGTTACTTTAGTCCTGGATATTTAAGCTTCAGTTTAATTTTGTCAACACTGTGATGAAGAAAACTTGCATTTTGATAGATGATAGAATTTTAATAAACCATAAGTTGAATCAAAAATTTTCAGAGCACATTTTTGAGAGCAAATTTTCTTAACAGGTTAGATAACATAAATAATGCGATTTTTAATGATTGAATAAAGTCAACATTGCTGAAAATATTTTCTCTCTCCAAAATATTTTAAAATAAAGTATCCAAATTTGTACTTACATTTAATTTCAACTTTTACATCACCTCCACCAGCACCCTTTGTGTTCACATGAAAAGAAGCCAGCTTATTGACTGCAACTTGTTCTAACCCAGAGCCACTAACACTCACCATATTGGAATCCACTATTTCAAGTGTATATGGAGAACCTGCAATGAAAGTTTTTTTTCAAATATATCACTTCATTACTTATGTGCTAATGAAAATCAATGTCTTTAAATAAATATGTTTCAATAATACTTTTTATGATGACAAAGATTTTTAGATTTATCAAAGAATGCTATTATGAATTCTAATATTTTGTCTGAAGAACTAACAAAGGGAAAAATATAAAAAACATTGTCTATAAAAATGGGGATATAGAATAAATGAGGATCCCTACATGCAAGTCGCTAGTGGCCTGTTGACAGGTTACTGATGACAACACTAACAGTCCTTTGGTGGGCCTCTAACGGTCCGCCAGTGGTAACAAACACACTGGCACTCTGACTCCAGCAGTAAATGCTAGTGGCATGCCACCCAGTGGCAGATTGGTGGCTTGTGTGTATGTCATAGCTCAAAAAATAAATTTGATAATGATAGAATATTTTCTGGGAAGCATGATTAGAATGTTAGGATAAGAAATGTTGAAGTTTCAAAGCAAAAATCTTCTCTTCATACTGATTAAAATAAGCAAGAAATTCAGTAATCATTAAAAGTACTAAACAACAAAAAAGTTTTTTATATCCAATTAGAATAAAAAAAACAAGCTTTCTAAGCAAAATTTAGAACTCAAGTAAAACATCATGGAATGTCTCTTAGTGAAATCTCAATATACATATTTTACCAGTTATAAACAATTTAAGAGTATATTTGTCTTGAATTTTATTAAATATTTTTTATTAAGAGGAAAATATATTATAACCTCTTTATACAGCAAGATATTTTTAATAACACAGCAAGACATTCTTTGTAAAATACTTCTAGTTTAGTAGATCCATTGAATTTATTTATTGATTAATTTTCTTTTTACAGCTTCTCAACTTTTTACAAGTTATTTAATGCTAGAAAATATTTTTAGATTTTAAGAATTTTTTGGAGATAATAATGATTTACTGATACAATTACTACAAATTAAGCCATAGATAGAAGAGCTGGATTTGTACGTTTCCAAATTAAGTGAATATAACAAATCCAACTGAAACCAGAACTCAGCTCTCTGATTTCCAATTCCAAGCTGTAGTTCATTCCATCACCCACACATCCAAGCTTACAGCATCTGGTATTCCCAACTGGTTACTAGTAGACCCATTGAACCAGCATTTGATCTCAACATTGATGCTGAGAGAGACACCACTGATCACCAAGTGTCCATTTCACTTCTAACTTTAACAGCAACAAATAGAAGTTACCACTCTTTGTATATATGTAAATAAATTATACATTTATTACCCCTACTCAATGTTCTCTTTTGTTTGAGACTTGGATTTACAATTGCCAAGGTGGAGAATGAATTAACCAGTAACAGAAAGAATTAACAGTAATAAGGTTTCATCTTCCAGGTTACCCATATCTGCCTCCACAACAAGTGGTAACTCTGATGTTTGAGCCATAGCAGCCACATCAAGAAATATACAGAAAATACATCAATACAATAAGTTCACATGAAGACACATTAGAAGCACCTTTAGACATAAATTCATCAGTTACCATCATACAATTTGCTGCCAGAGGAATATGATCACAAAAAATAAAATTTGTGAGTGTTTTGGACAACACTCACAAATCTTATTTAGTCAATGAAGTCGCCGGTGTAGTCAACAAAGTCGCTAATTTATTGTAAGATATTCCCAACACTGACCCTTACAATGTCCTTAAAGCTGCCACTATTAAAAGGGCAGGTCACTCGGATGAACAAATACTGAGAGAACTATTTAACAATATAAATATTAGTGACAACACATCCTCCCAACTCCTCAGGCACATGAAAAGTCACCTCAGAGGGAACAATATGTCAGAGTCAATCCTGCATCACCTATGGTTGGATAAATTGTCAATCATCATAGCACAAACACTGATGCCCATGACAGATGACACCACTCAACAAACTGGCAGATATCAACGATAAAATTTTGTGTCATAAGACCAAAGACTGAAGGCACTAACTCCCAAACAGGATAATGATTGTAGTGCTAAACACACACACACACACACACACACACACACACACACACATTGATGAAGCACTTGCAGATTTACAAAGGCAAATGCAACAAATACAATTGTTGTTAAGTCAGCAACAATGGAGATTCAGAAGTACCTCATGTAGGTGCAATCATACTTCACACCAAAGAAGTCTTAACTGTGGAAGAACAAACACATACACCAGTGGCATTTGCTGGTATCACCACACATTCAGTGATGAGGCAAGGAATTTTAACCAACCTTGTCATCATAACACCAACAAACCGGTGAGTTATCTCAACTACCCCAACCAGTACACACAAAGAAAGTTGCCTATTTTATATAGTTGACAAAAATAATGGCTATAAATTCCTAGTGAATACTGCAGCAGCAGTCAGTGTCATTCCACTAGCATGAGGTTGGACCCTCATGCTAGTGGAATGACCAATCCAGGTCTTCTCAAACTACTAGCTGCAAACAGCACATGCATTTATACCTACTGCACAAAAGATTTGACATTAAATATTGGCATGTGCTGAGATTTTATGTGGACATTCATACAAGCTGATGTGCAGATACCCATTTTTGGGGCAGATTTTTTTAACCCATTTCAACTTGTTGCTGAATATCAAACACAAAATAATTTCAGACACTGAAACAAGTATCTGTATTACAATAATTTTTACACAATACAGATCTATCAGCATCAGTGCAACAACTTGCACAGAATTCCTTGAAATTTTGAACAAATATAAGGATATTACAAAACTTTTTAAAATACTGACAACATCAAACATGAAACAAAACACTGGATAAAAACTACTTGACAGCCAGTATTTTCACTCCCATGATGACTACATCCATACAAATACAAATTTATCAAAAGGAATTTAACAAAATGCTATAGGAAGGGATAATCAGCCCATCTGAAAGCCCTTATGCATCGCTCTACACCTCGTTTCAACACTATATAATAAAGAATTTCGACTGTGTGAACATCTGTAAATTAAATGCATCCACTGTGCCTGATAGTTACACATTTCCCCATGTACATGACTTCGCATGTTGGTTATGTAGAGCGCATATATTCTCAAAGATTGATCAAGCAAAAGCTTACTTCCATATCCCAGTAGCGGAAGAGGATATTCACAAAACAGTTGTGACAATTCCATTCAGGCTATATGAGTTCATCCAGATGCCATTTGATCTTAGGCTGCCCAATCATTTCAAAGATTGTGAGGATTACCATTTGTATATGCTTACATTGACAATATTCTCATTGCAAGCAAAGATATTTAAGAACACAAAGATCACCTGCATCAAGTCTTTCTCAATTTGGATTAAAAATACTTTTAGATAAGTATACTTTTGGCATCACTCAGGCTAAATTTTTTGAACATGTCATAGACCAAAATGGGATTTCACCCTTACTGGGAAAAGTGAAAGCAGTTGAAAATTTCCCTGCACTTACTTCCATCTGACAGTTTAGAAAGTTCATCGGGCTGATAAATTATTATCGTTATTTCATCCCTAATCTATCATCTATACTTTTACCATTAACCAATCTTTTAAAGAAAAAAATAAAACATCTTTCAACAATAGGATGCCCTAAATTCCTTCAATACAGCCAAAACTGCCCTTGCAAATTTCATTCATCAGTAATGATGAAAACACATGCATCTTCTTCACTACAGACATATCCAATGTGACAGTAGGTACTGTAACTGAACAGGAAATCGATTCAGTAAGAAAACCTATTTCCTTTTTCTCTGCAAAATTAACTAAGTCTCAAACAGCACCTGTTTCCAACAACTGTTGGAAACAGGTGCTGTTTAACAATTAAACAATTTAGGCATATACTTGTAGGTAGAAACTTTGTAATATACACAGATCACACTCATACCATGAACCTCTCACTCATGCCATGAACTGCAGTGCAGGCAAATACACCTTAGAGAAATTATATATTTAGATTTTATTTCTAAGTACACAACAGATATTTGTTATATTAAAGAACAAAATATTATAGCTGATGCAGTTATGTACAGATATAACAACAATCTCCCATGATATATTAAGTCATGACTTAATTTCCAATGAATGGAAATCTGACTCCACACTAACAGAAATATTATACCTCTTTAAGTCTGAAACAATTTCCAGTTCCTTTCAGCAATAAAACACTTTGTTATGATACTACATTAATCAGCATTTGATGTCAACTGTAACATGCTGAGAGAAAGACATGACACAGATGAGGGTTTGATGTCAACACTGACATGCTGAGAGAGAGAGAGATCCCACCAACGACGACCACCACCAAGTGTCCATTTCACTTCTAATTTTGCTTCTCTCCCTGTTACCTTAGCAACAGCAGCAGCTAAAAATTACCAGTTTTCGTATATATGTAAATAAATTATATATTTATTTACCTCTATTCAATGTCCTTTTGTTTCATGAATTTTCAGGAATTAACCTCCACAACAGTAACAACAATATTCTGTCTTCCAGGTTACCCATTTCCATCTACACAACAATCATTATGATCTGTTGATTTTTTTAAATTCAAATATTTTGCTTTCTGACAACTGTCAATTGAAATAGGCCATGAAATTAGGAAAGGAATACAACTGTACAGGAATTCAGGCTTTAATAATTACTTTGAAATGAAACTAATTGATATCTGCTAATTTTGAGTCAAATTATACATACCTTTAAAAAATTATACATATAATTATCAATTATACATAATCAAGCAACAATATATACTTGTACTATAAATAATGATGAAGTGGAAAGGCATTAAACACCTTTTATTTCTGCATCATTGAACAAGCCTTTGATTTCATACAATCCTGCTCCTTGGGGAGTGAAATTAACTTTGTAGATTGCATTAGTTTCTTCACTTATATGCAGAGGAACATCTCGTCCTTTGTATTTGATTTTCACTTGTAAATCTCCTTTGCCAGCATGGCAACAGTCCACTGTAAAAATGAAAATTTACCATGAATAAACATTAGTTTAACAATATATATTAGAGTAATATAATATAAAATAACAAAATAATATAATTCACAATAAGTCATTCCAAAGAATTAAGAAAAATTCAATCTTTTATAACACTCCATCCTTTTATAATATAAACAAAGAAGTAATCTGCTGAAGAAAGAATAAAAAAGAATGAAAGAAACAGGTATTTTGATATATACTTTCAGAAGGATTAAACAAGAAATATCAAGTAATCTGACAGTTTAGTGAATGATTAGATTTTAAAAAAGAGAGATTTTCAAACCAGAAATACAAGTTATAGCAAAATATATTTAGAATTCAAATAAACATACAGAACAAAATTTTAGAAAAAAAATTTTCCTGTTAAATAGGTATTTTGTTGTAACAGCTGAAATAATTTGCTTCAGATTATTTGACTATTATTTATTTAAAGTTGTTTATATCTTACAGAACTGACATGAAAAATTTTACACTTAAGAAAAGGAATTTGCTGTGCCCTTAAAAATATAAATCAGAGGTTTCCAACATTCTGCCTGTAGGGAACCATTTTCATCAACAACATTTTCTTCAAATATTTGTCCTTCACTAAGACAATCCATAACTGGGCCTGTTGAGTCTGTAAAATTTTCAGTCACTGGGGGTGAACAGTTAACATGCGAAAGTTTGTTGCTGGAATTGGATTAAGAAATTAATTTTTTTAAAAGAAATGTTTACTTTTACCTTTGAATTAACTTAAGTTTCTTATTTAAGATACTGAAGTAAGTATAATGTTTATTTATTTTATTTGAACTTGTAATAAAAATTTAATTTTTATGAATAATTTGTTTATCATTAACAGAACAGGTATTTTTAGAAAAAAAGTTTGTTGAATTTTTCTGTCCTTCATAAATAAATAAAAAAACATTAAAAAGGTAACGTTTTTTACTGCAAAATTAATGAAAAATAACATTTATTAAAGAATTATCACATAAAGTAAATCTCAAAAATTAAATAAATTCAATAAATTGAATATTTTAAAACTATTCTTAAAATATACAACAAAATGTAAAAGATATTGTTTTGTCAATATCATCTTCCTTTTTTTTACCTTTTTTGTGATTATTTAAAAACAATGAAATTCACAAAAAATGTTATTGCAAAGAATTTTATTGCAGAAAATTAATTTAATTTTTCCTTTATGCTATTATTCTTTATAATAATGAATATCTTGATTATAAAATTAATTTTATAATGAATAATTTGGGTTTTCTTTATAACACATGAAGTATGTTGATACCGTCCTTGTAAGAAAACAAAAAATGAATTTAATTTTTTGCACTGCTAAATTTTGAATAAAAATTTTTATTCAATATTTTTTTGATATTGATATAAAAAAAACCCCAAAAAACAATTATTTACACTTATGGGTATTTAAAAATAGTTTGGGTGCTTCAACCTGACATGCTTTCACTTTGATGCTCAGACCTTCTGAATTAGATAAGTTGGTAGTAGGGTGAGCCTGTTTATGAGGTCTGAGTAGCATAGTTCCAGGTTGTGAAAGCCGCAATGGGAGGATAGTACCTGTAGAGCTTCATTGCAGGAAGAAGTAGAACCGTTCATGTAGAGTGGCATTAGTTGCCATATACAACAATGTTCTAATAGCATATAAAGCCTCAGGGAAGAAACTTTCCCAGCAGTCTATTGAGAACCCATATTTAGCAGCCAACTGTATTGGCTTTCATATTATGCCGTTATACCTTTCACATTGTCCATTACCATGAGGATTGTAAAGTGTTATTCTACTTATAGTCACTCTTACAGTGTTCTTGAAGAGTGGATGTAAGTAGATAATCTGACAATGGTAAAATGAAAGCAGAGGGCATGAATTACAATTGTTGATGCCATATCTGGGCAGGGAATAGTGAACAGAAAATGAGAGTACTTGATAATTGCTAGTAGGTACTTATTCCTCATTTTTGACAGAAGTGGTCCCTTAAAATCCAGCGCAAGTCTTTCAAACTGTTGAATAATTTGTAGAACTTAGACTTGAGCTCTACATATATTTAGCAGGTCTTCACAGCCCCCATTGCATCAAAATTTGCATTTAATTTGTAAATCTCCATTATAAAAATAATCCAAGTTGTACATGTATATATACTAATTTGGAAAAAAAAGAATTTTTAGTAATATTTGCATATTATTTAGAATGCACTTTTTGAGACAATCTTGAAAAGGAGGTTGGGGATGGCATTCTGACAAATGGTGAAAGGGGTTGCATGGGGCAAGCAAGGTTAAGAACACTCTGGTCTAGTAAATACTCTGAATCAGACATCTGAATCTCCAGTGTTGTTGTTGTGTGTCTAGTATTTTTATTACCTCATAATCTCATGAACAATATGTTGACTACCTTTAATTGGTAAGACTACTCATTAATACATCTATAAAACTGTAATTCCTTTTATATAAGTATTCATTTTTGTTGGTGATACTCATATAGACAAGACACACAGAACTGATCATTGGAATATTTTGGACAGTTATGCAAAAAAAAAAAAACATCATCATAAGGTTGATCCTATTTTACCTTTAAAATTTAGTTCTTTTCCCACAGTTCCTCCATCAATGCCATAAATTTGTACTTGGGCAGGATCAAAAACATTCACATCAAAAGGGCTTCCACTGATATGCTCTCCATCATAATACACAGACATTTTCCAGTTACCTACAACCAAAAGTTAGCAAATAAAAAAGAACACAATCAATAATTTAAAACCAAACTTGTATTGGAAACAATCTTTTAAAATATGTATTTTTTTTTTTGCTTTCACAATACCAATCACCACATGAGAATGAACATCCTTAATTAAATTTTCATATTAATTCAGTTAAAATTTTCCACACATGAAAAAAAATGATTTAAAAGTGAATATTTAAGAAAATAAATATTCACTATCATGATATTTCGCTGGAAAATGTTAATTCATATCCATTTAAAAAATCTTTACTTTATTTAGAAATATTAGTTAGTTAAAAAATTTAGGTGACAGAGAGGAATCTTAAAAACAATTTTAAGAGTACTTCAATTTATTTTAAACAGAAAACTTAATCTAAACAGTAATGAAAAAATCAAGTTTTACTTTGGGTACTGAAATGATTTTCATTTTTCAAATAAATATCTAATGATATTAAATTAGAAATGATATTAACATACCTAATGATACTAGCTTTCACAAAGAATGCTTTTCTAATCCCATGAAACTAATAATTTCAGAAATACAAACTTCAAGAAATTAAAGAATAATACATATTTTGGAAGATGTATGTTCCTCTGGTATCTGACAAAAGTTTTTATTTTGGAAAGATTTGCTTTAGTATTTTATGAATAAAGTCAATTACAGTTTGGTTCTAAATTTTAATATTAATATTAAAATAGTTCTTAATGCAAAATTAATATTTTTCATAGATTAGCAACAAGGTCATGAAACATGGATCATTTGCTAATGAAAATACTTTTGTGAAATAAAAGTTTAAAAGGACATTGCCAAATTTTTGCTAAAATCATTTGTGAATTCTTTTTCTATCACCAATTTCATATAGCAATTTTCAAAATGACAATCATTCATTTTCAAGCAAAATGTAAATACTTATTTTCACATTTTTTAACATCAATGTATTTTCTTAGATTGAATTGGATTGTTTTGGTAATTCCTAATGAATGAATTATTCAGTTTTTCAAATTACATTAAAAATTATTATGGTTAGTCTTTGCTTTTTGTGCAGTATTCAATATCTATTAGATATTTTTGAAAACATTAAATGTAATAACACTTGAGAAAACTAATAACTTTTATGTGGTGAAGTTATTTTCATAGAAAATAGAGGATATGTTTAAATTAAAATTTATTAAGCAAGAAAAGTATCAATCACATAATTCTTCTAATAATTAAAATGAACAATTAAAATTAATTTCATCTAAAATATATTTTTTAAGCCAAAGTTTAGATTTTTCTGGCCAGCTTAAATTAAAATTGCATATTCCATTATAAAATAATGATACTGGTATTGATTTAATAGATTCTTCAAGAAAACTTTTGATATTTTGAAATTATTAAGACCACTGATAAGGCAACAGGTGTTGCACAGAGTGAAATAAATGATATTGAGAATATAACAAATCTGAAGAATACACAGCAGATGGAGGAAGTTCCTATCCAAGATTGTATGAGAAGTGTTTTTCTTCATCACATTTGCAACATGAGGACAGCAAAATCACATATCATTTTTTTTTTGCTTAAAAAGCAATTTTTTCTCTGTTAATATGTCATCCAAATAAGCCAATTACTCATTGTAACATGGAAGAGTAATATTTTGTTCAAGTTCCATAAATTTCTCTAAGAATTAATTTTGAATCTCACCTATCCCTAGTAGCTGTGTTTATCTTTGTTCTGGTTTCTTGTAAGAAATTCCTTATTCATTGTCATTGACTACTTTTTATATTTCAATATTTTTTTGATAATTGTAAATTTCTGTATCTAATTAAATCATTCATACCAGAGGAACATACATCTTCCAAAATATGTATTATTCTTTAATTTCTTGAAGTTTGTATTTCTGAAATTATTAGTTTCATGGTATTAGAAAATCAGAAATTTCCATAACAAAATATTCCAAAAATTTTAATAGAGACAAATATTCAAATATGTATTTTTATTATCAGCTTATATTATAAAATTTTTCCATTTATAACTGTCTATTTATTTTTAACATGACTGAGATAACATAATACTTGACAAACAAAATAGTTATCCATTTTTAAATTTTAGAAAATTTTTAATAAATCAGTAGCTATAAAAAAATCAATTTTCAATTACTAGAAGAATGTTTTACTGCACTAATTGAGTATTATGCATGCACTAATTGAATTTTGGTCTAAAAAAATTTTTAGCACACTAATCGAAATGCATTAATCAAATGTGCGTTAATCAAGGGATTCCTATATTTAAAATATTAAATTATATATATTATACAGCATAAAAGCACACTGATTTTGACTTACCTACTTCAGATGGTGTAAAATTTGCATTGTAAATGCCATTCCTTGACATGACTGGTAGATTATTGACGTGACCACTAGGAGATTTTGCTTCAACCCTGACACTACCTTGACCAGCAGACACAGCATTCACCTGTTGATTTAGAGGAAAAAATCTGATATGTGTAACACCAAAATTAGATAATAAGTTTTTTTTCCTAAGTTCTTGAAGTGGAATAGGTTTTGTTTGGTATCTTGCAGAAGAATAAAATAACAAGAGTTTACAATTTCTTTCAAGTTGTGAATTTTTAAGTTATTATTTTATTCTTCTTCTGTGAGCCATGTCCTATCAGGATGTGGGTGATAATGACAATTTCCTATCTTTTGTGGCTCTTAGGTTTGTCTTTTTGCTATTGTTCCTAATTCCTGTTTTGCTAACAAATTACACAAGCTCTTGAGGTAGGTCATTCACTGCTTTCTGTTGTCTCTCTGGCCTTCAATATGTCCTGTGAGTATCACATTCTGCAAGTCTGCTTTCCTAAGAATTTCAGTTGCCACTGTCTGATTCTAATTTTTTCTAAACTTCCTCGTTACTCATATGTTCAGTTCATGGGATTCTCAGCATCCTCTTGTAAAACCACATTTCGGTTGCCTCAAATCTCTTCTTCATTTGAGAGAAGATTGCCAGTAATCACAGCCACATAGGTGAACCAATAATATATATTACTTAATTACATATATATATATATATATATATATATATTACATAACTGTTTAATACTCTGTAAAAAAAGAAATTCTGTTTCTTAATATTTTGCTTAGCTTTTAGAAATGCACCTTTAGATTTTGGTGTCACATTTTCTATCCTCTGTTAAAACACTTCCTAGATATTTAAATTTTTGTACTTGCTTGATTTTGAGGTCTCCAGTTTGTAGTTCGTATCTTCCACTGTTCCTTTGTTAACAACCATACAATCTGTATTCTTACAATTGATGTTTAGTTCTTTCATTTCACTTTTCTTTACTACCTACTGTAGGAGTTATTTTAGTCTTTTCTGTGTCTGCTATCAACACTGTGTCATCTGCATACCTGATGATGTTTTATGATAGTAGATGTCAATAATATGAATATGGCAGAACTTCTAACTTCCATAGGATAGCTTCACTATAAAGGTTGAATAAGTCTGATGAGAAGACACATCCTTGCTTTATGCCGCTTTCTATTTTTGTGTATTTACTGAATTGATTTTCTATCTGTATGGGTTTTCTCCCAGTATAAGTTCTGGAATATGCTATCTTTCCCAAATAAATCAAAGCTTACATTACATGTTCAAAGAGTTCTTTGTGTCATTTTTTGTCAAATGCTCTTTTATAATCTCCATAAAATATAGATATACAAATTTTGTATTTATATTGCTCTTTCTGATATCATTCTGAGCATTCTTTGTTCCAGTTTCTTTAATGAAACCTTTACCATTCTTGTCCTATTTTCAGTCTAATTCTTCTATGTGTTTTATTCATTAGAATTCAGATGATAAATTTTCTCTATATGGTTCATTAGGCTGATTAATCAATAGAGTTTACATTCATTTGCACCTGGCTTTAGGCAGCACAATGAAAATAAATCTACTAAGGACTTCTATATATCACCACTGTCATATATATCATTTAAATATTTCTGTAATTTTGTCAATGCCAAAATTATCGAAGGCTGTTACTATTCCATTTAGTTCAGATGCTTTTGTTATATTAAGCATATGGTAATAAGAGAAAGGAATATTGAAAATTAGAGTGAAACAATGTTTATTGTTGGTAGAAAGTACAGGAATAGCAATCAGGTGTATGTGCAGTGTCAGGAGTTGAACCATTTCTTATGCTAGCATGGCCGAGGTCACAGGATATGGTTGGTGCACATTTGGTTGATGGAGGCAATGGTTGTAAGTCGTCTTGTAAATGAATTGAGGTAGGCCAAGGTGACGGCGGGTATTGGGAGGCTAGTTCTGTGGAACAGAGGTCACTGTGTTGACTGTGAAGGGAATGCCTTATAAACGAGTCGAGGTAGAGTTGTTCAGTGGAGTGGATGTTGCTGGGGTCGACTGCAAAGAGAATGCCTTATAAACAAGTTGAAGTAGGCCGAGGTGACGGCAGGTGTTGGGAGGCCAAGGTGGTAGGTCAAGCCAGGAAGTGGTAGTGGTCATTGAGATGTGCAGTCATGTTGAGTGGTGGCGTTGAAGGCGGCAACAGTGATGGTAGTATTGATTTGCACAGTAGCTGGTCAGCAACTCTGTTGTCATGGTGACAAGGTCATAGTAGCAGGGCAGCAGCAGCCTGTGTGATGGCCAGTGGCTGCAACTGTGTCTAGTCGTCCTCTGAGCCTGCTTTTAAGTGTGTCTGGTGGTCCCCAGGGGTGCCTGATTTTACTGGCAGGAATGTTCGTGATTGGCCACCCCCGGAGTTCACTTTATAGACTGGATATGGTGTGTGGAGCCCAATGCACAGAAAACGACTTTTGTTATTTTGTCTTCTGCTTTCATGGTGGTCACATTTGGTCAGCATGCAGAATGAATCAGAACGAGATCTAATTGTGACTGAGTATAACATTTTGTTCTTGTTCAAGTTGACCAGTGATGATTTCACTTCAGACTTTAATATTTCATATTTTTGTGTATTACACGTTTTCCTCCTTTGATGTGGAAGAGTTATCCAATGTATTCATTCCATCTTTGAAGTATTTTTTCTTTCTCTATTATCAGCATGCCCTCTTTTGATTTTATGTATTCAAATCAATGAGCACATCTTACTGAAGATTAAAGAGATCAACCTCATTTTAAAAGACAAATAGAGATGGAGATATTGTCTGATGAAAACTTATCCAAATTAAAAGAAAACAAAAACAATAAAAATTAGCTACTTCTCAAAAGTTTCAGTATGACAAATGTTATGTTATAGGGATAAGATTTTACAAGCCAATGACAGTACTTTGTTTAGTTAAGTAAAATAGAATTTACAACCTACTGGTAACAACCATGTAGTTAACCAAGTAAATATAAGTTTCCTTTTTGTTTTCAATTTCTCTAAAACTTTGTCGTTGCTCACATGTTTGGTCCATGGTATCCTCAGCATCCTTCTGTAGAACCTGTCGCTTCAAGTCTCTTCTTCATCTGAGAAAGATTGTCCAGCATTCACTATTATATAAGAGAAGTGATATTATGTAACAGTTCAGTCCTCTTTTCTTTGTTTCTAATGTTTTGTTCTGTCTGTTTTTTACATTGCTTAGTTTTTGGAATGCATCTTAGGCTATCCCAATGTACTTTTGGATTTCAGTGTTTCTCTTTTTGTCCTCTTTTAAAACAATTTTGAGATACTTAAATTGTTGTACTTGTTTGATTTTGGTATCTCCAATTTGTAATTTGCATGTTGGGCTGTTCCTTTTGCTAACAATCATGCATTTTCTCTTATTTGCAATTGTTATTTAGTCTTTTCTCTTTGATTTCCTTCACTAACTTCTGTAGGAGTTCTTGTAGTTTCCTTTCCATGTCTGCTATCAACACTGTGTCATCTGCATATGTTGTTAAGATTATGACCACCAATAATGAATCTGTGTAGAAATTCTAATTCTATCAGAATTGCCTCACTGTATAGGCTGAATAAGTCCAGTGGGAAGACAGGTCCATGCTTACACCCCTTTCTATTTTTGTATATCTACTAAACTCATTTTCTATCCATATGCAAGCAGTTTAGTTCCAGTATAGGTTTTTGATTAATCTAATATCCTTCCCAAATGTGACACTATTTAGCTATGGTAATTGGCTAACTAATTAAGCATGGAAATTAAAAATGAGAAATGCTTAAGGTGAGAAAGAGCTATAACAAAAGACATACCGAGCGACATTATTTTTTTTAACAAAAGAAAAATGGTTAAAGATTTTATTTTCATTTACGAAGAAAGATATTTTTTTACAGAAGACAGAAAATTCATAAGAGAAACAGGTTTCAGATTCTGTCAAAATTAATTAATGTTATGATAAGAGGTGACGTGCCAAGGGAGATAGAATACGGGTAAAGAATAACAATTTCACCAATTGGCAATAATAAAAAAATTTCAATTCGGTCAATGCTGCATGTAGGAGAAATCAATCAAAATTCGGTTATCTTGGATTCCGACAAAGAAAGCCAGCCAAATGAATACAGACCTTGATATGGTCATTGTTACTGCCTGTTCAAACTGTTAACGACAGACTTTCTGTCACCGAGAACAGGCATCTGGAAATGCAATAATATTGAGATGAGAAAAAACAAAGAGATTTGGTCTTCAGGTGGAAAACAACCACCCAGTTAAAAGTTGACTGCAGTAATTAATGAGTCGGTTGAGAAAGTGCTAATGAATTCCTGGTGCCCCAAGGATAAGATAAAAATTAATGACCACAATGGGATTCATTAAATTCTAATGATAGAAAAGAAAGAAAGAAAAGGTAAGATAATTTTTTTCTTTAGGCGATAATGTAAACTAATGCCAGTCTAGCCACACCCATACCGCCAAGAGATCATTGGCTAAAGTGGTAGTATGGGTGATAGGCTGAGGTGAATGTATGAGAAAGAAGGGAAACTTGTTGACACCCACTGAAGGGATTGGTATGAGATACCAATATGAGAAAGGAAGAGTTTAGGAGGATAATTCTCCTCCAACCTCTCCTCACAGAACCCCTCTAAAACAGAAAGTAATTGACTTCCAAAAATGGGAAGTGATAAATTTTCCTGTTCAAAGACAAAGAAGACAAAGAGAATCCTTATTGGGGATTTGGAATTATTGAAGAACCCAAACCACGACCTGGTTTTGGTTGATGTCTATATAAATGAACGTCCCCGGGCGTTCAGAGTAGAGTTGGGTTGGAAATCGGAGATAGATCAAGAGAGAGCTGTTGGGCTCAGAGACCAGCCTCGCAAGAGCTGACTGAAAGATTTCCACGCCTTCCGAAAAGCAAAAGCAAGTTTTAATGAAAATGACTTAGATTTCTAACCAAGAAAGAACAATTTAGACTTATACCACCAAAGCAAGTTTTAATGAATATCGACTGAAGATACCAAAAAAAGCAGTTTATTGAAAAACAACTTAAGATATCAAAACTTGCTTAAGAAACGCAAAAGTATCACGAATCCATAGAAATCACATTGGAGAAAGACACACTCCTGTATTCAGCAGACAGATATAAAGATAATTGTTATTTCTCAACATATTTGAACCTCCTGAGTTTGTTTCATTATTTTTCTTTTTTACACTTGTGCGGTATCACCTTTACCCCCAGATTCAGCTTGCACTACGGCCAGACACCTGATTGATTTCATCTACCTAAGATCAAATCACAACATGGGTAGGTTAGACTAGAGATCAAAGCAGTTACTTTGGTAACCAGACGTTGGAGGCGAGCTGAGAATGACAAAGCTGATATCAAATCTAACCAGACATTGACCACGACCAAGACAACCAGAGGGGTTGGTGTCACAAATGGTTCCATGGTAAAACCAGGTTTTCACCCAAACCAGCCAAGGGTTAGATTTGTCACAAATGGTTGCTGCAACCAGCTCAGGGTTTAGGTGTCACATTGTTTATGTCATCGTTACTAAGGATTTCCAACAGTTCTTGGTAATTACTTTGATCAAATGTTTTTTATTCTGCGTTTACAACACATTTAATCATCCTTCAACATTTTGGTGCTTTTCTGAAATCATTCTGAGCATAAATATCACATTCTTTGTTCCAGTGTTCTTTAACAAACCCACACTGTTGAATGTTACAATGAACTTGGGAATAAAATGTCTATTATTTACCACAAAATCAAGTTCTATACTTGCCGAATGATAATTTGAGAAATCTAGTAGCAAATGCTAAAGCAATAACCAGCCAGTTTCCCTCTGGCCATGGAAACTGCAAGTGTGTTTTTCAGTGACAACTGTCTTACAATGCATTTCTGGGCAAATCCAAGCAGACTATTTCCTGGGCTTGTCTCCAAGTGTGTCAGCCTGATTTATATAGACAAATCCTTTTCAAAATTTGAATATTGTAATTGTTATATTTAATTTCTCCACCCCAACCATCTTAAGCTTAGGAGATCTGTTAATAACCATATGGCATCTGTTTTTGTCTTTAGAATTTTCTGTCCTTTATTTCTGTAAAGATAATGGTGTTGGGGCAAATAGCATCAACACAAACAAATCCCATGTTTGGGAATTAAACAAAGAACAGATGCCTTTTTGTTTAGAAGAATTTGGGTCACTCTTTTCAGTAAGAACACACACATTTTGGACAGATAGCATAAATGTAACAAACACCTGAATTTAATTTCTCAGGAACAAAAAATTTCAAGCAACACATTAAACAATTGTATGGTTGGGGAATCTTGGTTTTGTTCAATTTTACTGAATCTCAACTAGTTAATTCTGGGGTTGATTCTCGTTGGAATGTTTTTAAATTCATTTTATTGTTTTAAAATATAATTTTTAACCTGTTTCTCTTTTCATTTTTTCTCAACCATTTACCCTAATCTCCTGAGAATTTTAATAATTATTATCCAATTGGTAGTCCCTCCAAACAGCATCCTTAAATTTTATACAATTAAATGTTTAAACAGAGTCAATGCCTTGTTATATTTGTATGTTCATACAACAGAAAATTCTAGGATACTAATTTTAGTATAGATAACTACAAAGACTCAAGTAATAACAGTCTATATGAGGTTGATCTCTGAGGTTATTCAAGGTTGCTAGGGGTCATCAAAAAGAATAACTTACCATTCCAGCCAAATGAAACAATATCAACCAAAATGGACTGAGTTTGCTATGAAATACAAAACTGTTATTTGAAGTTACAGATAGTAGAGAAGATCAAGTGTAATAGTCACAGAAATTCCTCAGAAGTTGAATTAGTTTAAAGCCTTTATGATCTAGATTGCAGCCAAGTAATTTCATTTTTGGATATAAATTGGTACATAGGTTGCAAAAGGTGATAAGTGCTAAACAAAGTAATTTAAAGAGCTTTAAAAAATTGATTTTTTTCTGATTTTCTTTTAAAATCTTATACAACCCTACATTCCTGATAAAAACTTTCAGTATAAAATTTGATTTTTCATCACTGGTTTTAAATGTACAAAATAGCTCCAAACTATAAAAACTGTTAGTGCCTCTGTGTGGAATTCTTGTGACAAAGAATGATGCGATCAACATAATTCAAAATTATTGTAAAAGGTTCCTGAAAAGCACCTGCTGTACAGGATATTTAATAGTGCTAGACTGAATCTATTAACAACATAATTGGTTTCATCAATTCTCTTCAGGTACCTGATGTTTGTCCTAAAAGGTTTCATCTAAAAGCTAGGATTGCAATAATGTTTCTTAGAAATCTCAATGTTTCAAAACAGTGAAACTCAGCGAACTATTGAGTAGATTCTCCCATGTCCTCAAGTCAACTATTCTAACTGGAAAAACTAGGCTTTCTCATAGTCATCAACAAGGTACAAAGGTAATCTCTTAAGATTGTTAACCTCAACTTAATTTCCCCATGCTTTTCCCAGCTCTATGCTGGTTGTTCTATGTCTTGATCTTTAAATATACTTTTCATACTGGCATCATGTGGGAAAAGCTCTAAAGTTGTACAACTAGAATCCCTGTCAACTTAAGAGCCAACATAATTTGTTTATAAACAATACAAGTTCATTCCAGCCATAATCTTTACGCAGAGATTTTGTTTAAAATACCTCCATGGATCATAATGAGATAACTTAAGCACCAAAAATATTGTACACAGACTTTAAAAAATTTGTAAATATATAGAACAAGCATCCATAATTTACCATATTGCTTCTATCAAATAAGAAAACAATTGCATAAAAACATGTACAATATATTTTCATTTATATGGCTAAAATATTCACTGGCAAATGGAGAATTTTTTCTCTCTATAACTGCCATAAAAACTCTACATTTAGCTCATAAATAGGTAAATTTTTAACTGACTTTGTCAAACTGGTGCTGCCAAGTGTAAGAAATTTGACACAGACTCATTCTAGCTTCAAATATAATAGGATACCAAAATAACAAAAAAAAATTTATAAACAAGACATGATTGGATTATATTGGGGCTAATTCATTAAGGAACTAAAGTTAAACATGTAGTTCACACACATTGTTATGAAATCATATTGATCATACTTACCTTAACTTCAGTTATTGTTCCTACACAGCAATTTTCTATTTGCAAATAGCTGACCTTGGAACGGTCTGCATTCACTTTGAAGGTTTTAGGACATCCACTTATTATTTGGCCATCACACAAAACTGTCAGCTAGTCATTAAAAAAAGCAGTTATATGAGAAAAAGCAAAATAAAAGATTTCATACATGTTTTAATTCTGGCATCAAATAGATGATCCCTGAGTGTCTATTAAATTTACTACAAGAATTTATCATATTTAAATATTTGAGAGGTTTTGTACCTGTCAACATTTTTTCTTTTTCTGTTATTGACTAAAGTGAGTTAGGGAATGGCTGAGATGATATAAAAATCAGATCAGTGAGCAAAGATAACTATGTTTAGAGATTAATGAAGAGGCTTAATTAAGAGAGCATTTTGACTCAATTGAAGAAAAGATTCTAAATACCAATTATGTTACTCATATAATATATAAGTGGTATGAAAAATGATATATGCAATTCCTGATAACTTTTATCAGTGGAGAAGAAAACACTGAAGTTACCAATTACTTACTTTCAGAAATTTGGCATTCTATCTATAAAACAGTGCACCACACAATCATATGTTAACTTATCACTTGTCAAAACAGTACCATCCATGCGCATATGGATCGTCACATTACAAATAACTAAAATACAGATATCAATATAAAACAAATATTAGTAGATAATACCAAAATACTGTGCAATTTATTTTGCTCTAATCATTACACATGACGTCAATTGGAACCGATTCAAATCACAGCTCTGTAAAAATACCAGGATGTAGACAACATAATATGGTTAATCAAACTGACAACATCCAGTTTTTGATAGTGACTGAGTGAAATGATTGAAAATATTTGAACAAAAGAGAACAAAAATGAACTCTTGATCAATAATTTTGATTCCAATATACAACATCCCATTGGAAAAATGCAATAAAAAATTAAACAGACAAACCTTGTCAGTTGAATTTAACAAAATTTGTTTTGATGAATTTTTGCTGATTAAATATATCTTATTTAAATAGGTAGGATAGACAGCAATTTTTATAAAGAAATCTTTTATATGCTAGTTAATATGGTATTCACTGTTAATTTTGATTAGTAATAAAATGGTTTCATATTAATTATCAAAGATGTAAAAAAAAAATGAAAGACAATATTTAGAAAATATTTAACTCTAATCATATATTTGTAAGGTAATAATAATAATAATAATAATATATGCTCTGATGCTGCACAAGCCATGAAAGTCATGGCTTCTGATTGTAATATGTTGGAGGTTTTAACATGTACATGTCTTGGAGAATTAATATGGTAGATATACCATTTAGTACTACAAATTTGCTTGTTAATTGCCTGACAGGCATATTCACAAGTGGCTGTTGTAGGGGAGCATCAAGTCTGGATATTGTGTTTTTTAAGTTTGAAGTATGAGGCAGCCACAATAACTTGGGAGTTACATCTAAATACTTGAGGATACCCACACCACACTATCATATGTTAACTTATCACTTGTCAAAACAGTACCATCCATCAGAGACCATCTGAATAGACTGGGTTACTTAACATGAAGGTATTTATAACTGGGCACTACCTGCAAAGTTAAGCACAGCCTTTTCAAATCCTGTTACCATATTGTGCCCATTTGGTTGAGATTCACATACCTGGTATACACTTAACAAACTAGATATCATGATGGGTATATTGGACTTCACATATTTGTATCCCAGTGTTACTTTCTTGGTATGGGTCTCTCTCACTCAAGAATAATAATATAGACAAAACAGAATGTTCCAAAACAACAAAAGTAGATTAAAACATAAAATAAACAAGAACACTAAAATAAACCAGTAAATTAACAAGAACAATAAATAAAATTGCTAACTGAACAACAACAAAATAGGATACAAATCCATAGCTTCTGGTTCAAGTGATTTACAGATATACATGCAAGATTAGTAGAAATGATATGCAAATATCTGATGGAAGCACAAAAAAATGACAAATATAAAAAAAGAAAGAAAGAAAAAGAAAAAGAGAATAACAAATAACATACAGATAACATTTCTATTAATGATATAAAACATCCTAACTAGTTAGATTGCTGAACAAAAATATTACTCACTAGAAAGCGGAGAACACCTTTCTGTTTCACAGAAAGTGTTTTGAAGAGGAACTAGAAAATCAAGTCATTCATTTGTAGAGTATTTGACTATCGTTAAATGTAATTGGCAGAAATGCCCAACAAATAATTTACAAAGTTTTCAATAAATGGTAATAAAAGAAAGAAAAGAACAGGACAAAAAATAATACTAATCAAACAATATATGCAAGAGAAAAGTAGGCAAAGCAGCAGTAATGGGACAAAAAGTTCACAAATTAAGAATGGTTAACACACAAAAGGGATTCAAATAAGCAATCATAGTGTTCTGGCTTCAAGACAATAAAAAAATAGAACTAAATTGGACGGGACTGAGAAGTGGCCTATCTTATTGGCTAGGAAGAAATCCCAGCATACCTCTGTATGTTTCATCTATAAATTTGGGAGGGGGATGTTTTTGCAGTCATTCATCTATGAATTGAAACCAACATCATAATGAGGACAATGAACAATTGGATATTACAACTCCCAGCAGGGGAAAATTCCCTAGCCAACATCAAAACAAAAAGTTACTTTTAGGGAGATTCCCTGTCCACATTACTATTCATCATAGTAGTGATGCTGCTTGGCTATACTTTAACAGGGATGCAGATTTACATGAGAAAATATATATATACAAATGAGCTGAATATCTTTGCCAAAAGCAAAAAGAGAAATTGGAGATCCTAATATAAACACTGATGATCTTCAACCAAGATATCAAAATGGAGTTTGGAGTCAAGAAATGTGCAATGTTAGTGATTAAAAAAGGAAAAAGTGAAACAAAAGAAAGGATTAAACTGTAAGATAGAATATTCAACAGAAAAAAAATGAAACAGAATGAAATAAAAGAGTAAATCATCATAAATACCTTAGAAAAACAAGAAAAATATAATAAATATTTGGACAATTACTATTTTAACATCATTTTTAAACTGGACAAGAAAAGAATTCAGAAATGTGGACCACAAAACTGATAACAATCCCATGACAAACTATATGTAAAAAGGTAAGGATCAAAGACTGTATGGGCTCTTTGATCAGGAAACTTGAAGGCAAAGTAATAATAAAGAATAAAGAAAGACTAATAATAAGAATCAAATTTTCATCTAAGAAGACAAATAGTGAACCAATTACAATCCAAATATTGACAAACAGACAATTGTACAGACATTTCAGAAGAAATCAAATTACTGTTAATGGTGGATGAAAACACCCTAAGAACCAGTTATAAAAAAGTTAAGATAGGATATTGAAGAAATGCTAATGTGGAGCTAAAGACAACATAATAAACAAATGCAGCAAGTTAGCATAGAAAAATACAAAAATATTTATGACTGGGTATCCTACAAGGCTGATCCCATTGGGAACTGTTCAAGTAAGTGTGATTTGACAAATCAACACACAGAGTAGACACAGACACACCGAACTAGAATGAAAAACACAAAATTCTTCAGTATTTTGAAAATTCACATTGTCACCCAATTGAGACAGGGAAGACCAGATATTCTCCTTGTGATGAACATACTAGGTAATGGTTTCACAGAATCAAATTTAAAGAAAAGAAAGAATTTGAAATATCTGGCTCTCACTAAAGAAACTAAAGAATATAAAAGTAGCATTAATGCCAGTTACAATAAGATCATTTAGATAAAGACATTACTAAAAACAGGTAGAATACTTACAAAGATATGGGTGTATTTAGAAAATTTGCTGTCACTTGATCTGTAGTGTAAGCCAACAGTTGTGGAAACAGTATAAATAATACTCAAAGTTCTAATTTTCATAAAAATTAGTAAAAATTTGTTAGGTGCTATAAAATGTATTTTATGTTTTTATATTATGTAAAAAGTACTTTAATAACTTTTAGTGGTTACATATTTTCTCAATTTAAATATATTGTAGCTAATCAGATTTGTTTAACAGTAAAATAGTCTTACCGTGTGTTGACCAGTTTCTGTTGGAATAAATGTAACAATTCCTGATTGTCCAGTCCAGCTCATGTGGACAGGCAGTTTAGAATCAGGTCCTGTCACATTAACTTGTATATTTTCTTGAGAAACATTACTATCTACAATATTCATGTGAATTATGGTCTGCAATAAAAATGCAAGCACAAAATGTATATAGAACAGAAACTCCTGATTAAATAAATTCTATAAATGAAAATATAATTATAAATGAAAATTTGTATATGATAAAAGAATAAAAGGAAACAGTAGGAATTTTCATATCTAAAAAAAAAGAAAAAAAATATTAATTTCAGTGAGAATATAAACTTTGATAATAAATTTGACATCTTTCTTTATACTAATAAAGATTCAAAAACTTATCCATTTTTACAAATTTTGTAAAAGAGGATATTTTATCTAATTTTTTACATTTTACCACATTTTCAACAAATTATTTTAGAAATTAAAAATCTCAAGATTGCTTATTCAAACATAACAGAAAATCAGAATTAGAGCAGTTTTTGGTTAAAAGTGGACATTTTCAAAAAAATTTTTGAATTGAATTGCTGTTGAGTTTACCAGCATATCAACCCTTATTAGGTCATTTAATGCCCAAAGGTTAATTGTTTCATTGTAAGGTATGTGTATGATTGGATTGTTGGGTTTAACGTCACATCAGTCTTTATTAGTTCTTCCTATGCCAAAAATTCGTTTCATTATGAATTAATCTACACATGCAGGGTTGGATTGTTGGGATTGGTGGTAAATCAACCTTTTTATTTTTATTCATTTTTTTGGTCTAGAGAGAATCTTCCCAGCAGTACCAGGTCAAACAACACATCCAGAAGCTATCAAAGATTTCAGGCTGTTCCAATGGCAACAACTGATGCAGTTATACTCACCTAAACAATCTGATATCCCTGATGAACCCCAATACTCTGAGCAGCCTAGCACTATCAAAAAGGTCCTTCATATTATTTGTTTGGTAATGTTTCACTTGGGACTGGTGATAATCTGCACAGTATATTAGGATGTATCTGTGTATGGTTCCTGACAGGCCATACATATATCATTTTTGAGCAGGTATTGATGCATGGGGCGTATATATACAGAGTCTGGCCTGGACTACTTCTCTTCTTGTTTTCTTGTAATCTGGGAGCCATTCTCCAATGTTCAGTTTGATATTAAATAGTTTGAGTTGTTGTTCCATGATTGTTGCCATTTTTTCATAATATACTTTTTAATATATGGTTGTAGGTCTGTGTATGGGATTTTAGCATTGCGGGAGGGTGGCAGATCTAGTGAATTTTTATCAGCTTTTTCATTTCCATGAATATCACAGTGGCTAGGTGTGCAGAAAGTGTTGCCTTTATTTTTTTGAGAGAGAGATTATTGATTTTATTTAAAAGTTGCATGATTAAGGTGTTTGAGGTGTCTCTATTTTTCAAAGATATAAGTGTGGATTCTGAATCAAAGAAAATTATGAATTTATTATGTTTGTTTGAGGTTATAATTTCTAGTGCTAGATCAGTTTCTAGTACCTCAGCACTGAAACTCCATCAGGCAAATGTTTGATTGTTTTAAAATTGTTCATCGTGGCAGCACATCCTACTTTTTCTATGATTTTGGATCCATCTGTGTATATATATGTGTATGCATATGTGTATATGTGGTTTGGGTATGTGTGTTTAATGGTTTATAATTCTTCTAGATAGGTCAATGGATTTGTTTTTGATTTTTGGAAGCTTGTAAGCTCTAGTAAGACTTTTAGTTGTTTTAGTAACCAGGGTGGTGTATTTATAGGTGATGCTTTTGTGTATAAGTATTGTGTTTATTTGGGCTTCATTGGTGAGCTCTACCTTGCATATAGCCAATGGTCTAATAGATTTTTCCTTTCATTCAAACAAGGTTTTATTTTGAGGGTGGAGCACACTATTGTAGGTTGAGTTTGTTGGGTCTGAGGACAATTTTGTGTAATACTGTAGATACAGTTTCTGTTGTTTTAATGATAATGACGTTTCATCTGCTTCTACATACAGGGCGCTACCCAACTGGGGGTGTGCTGAAAGCAAAAGTGCAAGCCTAAGTCCTTGATGGTGTATGGTTTCTAATTGTTTTACATACATTTTTCTGGCTGCTCCATAAATGATGCAATCAGTCCAGTTTTGACTGTACCAATGATCGGTAGAGTTTTAGTAGAGTTTTTTTTGTTGGCTCCCCACTCAATGTGTGCTACCACTCTGAGGAGTTGCATTGCTTTGTTGCATTCTACTTGTACATATTTGATATGTGGGATAAATGACAATTTTTTGTCAAGAATGAGGGCTAGATATTTGTATTCTTTGACCACTGGTATTATTGCATTATACAGTTTTATTTTGTATCTTTTTGATTTGGCAGAAGTGTATGCACTTGGTCTTATCTTTTGGAAATTTAAAACCATTTTCTGTGGTCCACCTGTCCAGAGTTTGAGTTGGTGCTCTACTGTGTGCAAGTATTTTGATTTGCAGTAAATCAAGAAATCATCCACATAGAGTCAGTCCCAGTTTTAATGTTTTTCACCATGTTAAAAAGGGTAACCAATAGAATGCTACGTTGTGGCACCCCATTTCTTGTTCCTTTTTGATTGAAAGTGTCTCATTTATCCGTATTTTGAAATGCCAATCATCCAAAAAGTTAGAAATAAGTACTGTTATTCTGCCAATCAGTCCCAGGTCCTTTAAATCTTTTTTATGCCATGTCTCCAGGTTATGTTGTATGCCTTTTCTATATCAAAAAATATTGCTGTTAGGTGTTTTTTTTTTATGAAAGCCTCCATATGGAGGTTTCCAATTTCACTAGGAGATCGATAGGGCTTCTTTGTCTTCTAAAACCTGACTGATACTCTGTTATTAAGTTATTAGTTTCCAGGTACTATACAAGTCAGTTATTTTCATCCTTTTCAATGTTTTGTTGGGTCTGTGATGTCTTTTGTGGGTTTCAGTATAACAATCACAGTGGCTTCCTTCCAAATTTTGGGTATGTTTCCACTGATCCATATATTATTGAAAATTTGTAGTAGGAAGTTTCAGGATTCTTCTAGTAAATGTTTTATGAATTCATAGTGAATATTGTCCGGTCCAACAGCTGTGTTGTGGGCTTTGTTTAGTGCTTCTTGCATTTCTGTTTTTGTGAAGAGCTGGTTATAGAGTTCTTCATTTTTGAATTGGAAGTTGATTTTTTTTTCTTTGTTGTCTGTGATGGTCTGGAATTCTTTTGTCTTATTTTGTAGAGAGAATTTTGTGCAAACCTTTCTGCAAGGTTATCAGCTATGTCTTTCATATTTGTCATTTTTGCATTATCTTGGATAAGGTGTTTGGTATGGTTCTTGCAATTTTCCCCCCAATATTTTCTGGATCATATCCCAGAACTTTTTTGTTTTGGTATCCATATTTATTTTAGATATATATTTTCTCTGTGTATTTTGTTTGGATTTTTGATGGTTTTGCATGCTAGGGCTCTGGTGTTTTTGTATATATCCAGATTTTCTTTTATTGGATTGGTCTCAAATTTTCTTTGGTTTGTTAATTTTGTGAGAGATGGAGCTTTTTGGCATATTTTCTTTTGCAATAGTATTAGGTGTGTTAATGAAATATGTTATATAGTTTTCATTGTCAGGGTTGGCTTTGGGAACTAGTTTTTAAATTATTTCCAGTTGACTTTCTGGAGGTTGTAAGATGGTGTTTTATCTTCTAGTTTAGGATTCTGATTTTCTAATATGATGGGGAAATTCTTTCAAAATTATCAGTGTAGTCCTGAAAAGGACTGTGTGGGAGGAAACTAGGTCACTTTTCTAAACTCATGGGCATCCAAGCTCTGAGAGTGGAAGGTTGTCTTCATTAAACCCTTCAAACATGCCTTTGTTATCAGATTCACTAGAATTTAGATTTTTTCTCTGTCAGGTTGGGATACAAATCTGTGTCGTATCATTGGTTGTTATCATCATTGTTAGTTTCTTGTGGTATCTCTGTTGATTCTGGTTTCTGTATGAATTCCTCATATAGGGTGTAATCTTTAGTACCATTGAGCTTGTTCGAGAAGTGGCATTTCTTGAAAGTGTTGACAGTGATAGCAGCATTCAACTCTTCCCAGGCATTGACAATCCAATTGAGATGTCTTCAAATTCTAGTTATCTCATTCTGCCTCCCAATGTATAGGTGTGATTTATTTTCCCTTTGTTGCAATATGCTATTAGATAAATATTATCTCTCCTGTAGACAAATGAATCCATTTTGACCTGATTTTATCTGTTATGAGTCCTGGAAGAATGGATTTGAGTTCTGAACTACACAGCAGACTTTGGGATACGATTTTGGATGAAATAACCTGTATTTTATACACACAGGATTAAGGTAGATAACTGTTGTAGAGTAAATAGTACACCCCCAGTGACTAAATGAACTAGTTCATCAAAAGAAACCATTTAGAATCAGTTTTAATAAGGGCATCATGGCAAGTAGCCGAAGCATTACTTATATTATAATCAACACAAGCTATGTTATAACAGTGACAACGAGTGAGTCAAAACTCAGGTAATTTGTAACCATTGTGATGAGGATTCAGGAACTCAAACAAGTTGTAACAGGAGTTAGAAGGATTTTGGAAACTCATACTGAATGAACGAAAAAATATACTTGTTGCTTCAGGAACAAGGATATGTGTGATGACAAGAATTTAGGCTATGTTGGTTTTAAATTTTTTTGATTGTTGTTGAGGAAAATAGCTCTGCTAGAGTATAAAAAATACTGCAACTACACATTACCAAAAAAAAAAACAGGTGAAATCAGGTTTGAAGACACAGTACACAATCTTTAGTGACAAGAGCTCTCTGTTTAATGCCCATTGGAGATGCATGAATTTAACCAAAAAAGAGGACAAAGATTTTGTCACATATGCTGGTATCGTCAACAAAGAATGTGAAAAGTTTAGAATATTTTCAAAGGGTTCATTTTCATTCAAAGTTTAACAGTTAAAAAATATGCTGAAATACAAGTGAAAATTGTAATGAAAATTGAAAACAGTAATATTACACTGCAAGAAATAGTGGATGATTGCCAGTCAATTCTAAGTCTGAAACACATTGCTGAAGAAATTCAGAAAAAAAGAATGTGCATTGCTACAACCAAAGGACAAATGTACAAAAAGGAGAATAAATTCTTGTTTCAAATGTGGTAAATTACATCTTGGAAAAGCCTGTCCATTTAAAAATGCAGAATGTTACAAGTGTGGTAAAAAGGACATATAGAGTCACACTGCAAAACCAAACCAAGAAAAAATCCTCACAGGAAGAAATTTGTACATAGCATTGCAACTGAAAAAATGGTCACAGAAAACAAAAGGAAATTTGTGAATATGAAAATAAATAATGTCAGTGTCAAAATGCTACTGGACACTGGAAGTGATATTTCAATAACCATGGAAGGAAATTGGAAAGCCTTTATTAAAAATTATTTCAGTTTCTGGTGAGAAATTATTTTTTGGGGTAGAAATCACTTGTAATATTTCATTTCATAATAAGCATGTAAAAACTAAAGCTTAGGTATTAAAAATGCTACAAATTTATTTGGTATGGTACTGATTGGATGGAACTATTTGAACTTTGGGATTTGCTGATAAACATTTATTGTAAAAACATGCCACTGGGTGGCATGCCACTAGTGTTTACCACTGGTGGCCTGCTGTTGGGCTGCTGGCATGTTTGTCCCAGCAATGTTACCACTGTTGGACTGCTGGGGGCCAGTCAGTGGCTGCAACCAGAGGACCACTGGCGTTGCTATTAGTGGCCCACCAGCAGGCCACTAGCAGCTTGCATTTAGGGAAACGATGAATTTAAAAAGTCAGAGCAAAAAACTTAAGGAAGAATTAAAAAATGTTTTACAGATGTTCTGTCAAATGAACTGGGTCAGTGTTCAAAATTCAAGGCAGATTTTCAAGTAAAAACGGTTCCATGACAGTATTTAAGCTAAAACAATTCATGGCATTGGAACAAGTCAACAAAGAGTTGGACAGACTCAAAAGAAGTGGTGTAATAGAAAAAATTAGCTTCACCAGTAGCATATGTAAAGAAAAAATATAATAAAATTTGTGTTTGTGCAGATTTCTCAGCAGGATTAAACAGTCGTTTAGAAACACCTAACTACCCATTACCAAGTCCAATGGAAATTTTTTTGAAGTTAAACAGTGGAAGGATATTTTCAAAGCTGGATTTCTCTAAAGCATATTTATAAATTCACATTGAAAATGAATGTTCAGAATTAACAACCATGCATACGCACAGAGGATCATATAAGTGTAACCAACTTCATTTTGGTATAAAGGTGGCACCAGCTATTTTACAACAAGCTATGGATAGCTAGCAGATTGCGATTTCATAGTGGTGCATCTGGTCAACATTTTAATTGGAAGTGTATCTAAAGAACAACATGTTGGGTATGTGAAAACAATTTTGGAAAAACTAAGTACGAATTCAAGCTTAGTGAAAAAAAATGTGAATTTTGGAGCCAAAAATTAAATACCATAGTCAAATCATACTTATTATAGAACCCAGGTTGTGTGTGTGTGTGTGTGTGTGCGTTCGTTTATATATGGGATCGGATTTCCTACATTTTTCAACCGATTTCAACAAAACTTCACTTTTTTTTTTTGGCAGGTAGTGTTTCTTATTGTCTTGCACACTTTTTTTTTCTTTATTTTTTACATTCAGAATGCTTTAAAAATTCCATTTACAAGACAATTGTTTATAATAAAATTCTATTCAATTGGTAGACTCATAACGATTGAAAAACAATGTTTTGTTTGAGTTTGACCAATTTGTAAAAAAAACAAAAAAAAAAAAAAAACTAATTAAGACATGCGTGTCCATCAACCTTAAACAATAATCTTTGTCAATTTTATTTTTCAGTCTTTATGATGGTCGATACTTGATCTATCTCTTACTGTTACATCCCCGGGCAACGCCGGGCTCTACTGCTAGAGCAGTATTGATAAAAATGTTCATCAACTAGATCCATCAAGGGCAGATATAATTAAAAATATGCCTCCACCAACAAACGTGAGTACATTACAAGCTTTTCTAGGACTGGCTAATTACTATCAAATATATGTACAGAATATGCATAATTTGAGAGCTCCACTGAACAATCTCCTTGAAAAAGGAGTAAAGTGGAACTGGAATGAAAACTGTCAAAAGGTGTTTGACAAAATAAAAAAATAGACTTACGTCAGATTTATCATTAGCACACTACAATCCAAAACAAGAAATTGTAGTGATGCTAGTGAGTACACTATTTGAGCGGTGATTTTATACAAATACGATGGCAGTAAAATTTCACACTTGCTTCTTTCTTGAGACAAATTACAGCCTGATAGCAAAAGAGGCTCTAGCAATTATATTTGCCATGAAAAAATTTTATAACTTTATTCATTGGAAGAAATTTTATGTTGCAAACAAACCACAGACTGATATTAACAATATATGGTTCAAAGAAAGGAATACATATGCATACAGCTAATAGACTACAACACTGGAGTACTATCTTATTAAATTATGATTTTACAATGGAGTACCAACCATCTAAACAATTAGGACATGTGGAATGATTATCAAGGTTAATACCTAAAAATGTGGAACCATTTGAGGACATGATCATTTTAGCACAATGGAAATAAAAAACATTTTGTGCAATGTAGTGCAAAAGTTACTAGTTACCCTGGAAGATATAAAAGAAACAGTGGAAAATGACATCTTTATTGCAAAAATTAAAAAGCAATTGAGAGAAAGTAACAAAGAACAAAATCTAGACTTAAACACTTGCTCATTATGCAATAATGTAGTAATGTTTGGTTAAAGGGTTGTAATACCGAGTGTGTTACAGCAGCAAATTTTAAAGAATTTTCATAGTGGACATCTTTTATTTATAAGTGCAAAAATCAAATTCACAGATAAAGAATTGGAGGACTTTTGTAAGATATTCTCCATTGAACATATTACGACCCTGCCATATCAACCAAGGTTGAATGAATAAGCAGAACAGTTTGTGAGAAAGTTCAAAAGAATTTAAAGAAAGCGAATCTTGATAAAGTAAATGAGAAAGCGGATCTTGATAAAGTAAATGAGTAAATAAAGAAAGCGGATCTTGATAAAGTAAATGAGAAAGCACTTCAAAATTTTCTGAGAGTTTACTGTGCAACACCTAACCCCAATACACCATCAGGCATGTCGGAGGTGGAATTAATGTTTGCTAGAAATGTAAAATTAGTGTTTGACAAGTTATTATTAAGTTGAAGAACACAAATAGATAACAAAGACGACACCAAAAGTTTCAAGGTTGGTGATAAAGTGTTCTTTTGGGCATATAAGGATGGTAAAGAAATGTGAGAAGACAGCATAATATCAGCAAGAATCAGGAAGTTGATTTTCATGATGAAAGGGGAAAGATTTGAACATAAAAGGCACATTGATGAAAGACCTGAAACATTGGAAGAACCGAAAAAATGTTATATGATGTTTTTGATGTGCCAGCACCACAAAAATCAGAGAACCTACAAGAACATATTCCAGAAAAAGAAAGCATACTGAAGAACTGGAAGTGGATCCAAGACAGAAAAACTACAAAGTCAAGTACGTTGGCGAACACCCCAGAAAGAAGAGGTGGAGATAATAATACTAATAAAATATAAATCAGTATTAATCTCATAAGGGGGAGATGTTGTGGAGTAAATAGTACACCCCCAGTGACTATATGAACTATAATAAAAAGCTCCAGATCAGAGGTAAGAAGAAGCCGTTTGGAGTCAGTTTTCAGACTAATTAAATAAAGGCATCACAGCAAATAGCCAAAGCATTACTTATATTATAATTGCTATGAAGCATGTTATAACAAAAACAAAATTTATAAATATCAATTTTATTAAATTTATATTTATCAAAGTTGAATTAGCAACAAAGTAACCAAGATTAAAATGAATTCCAAGAGCATGTTCTACTCTTTTGAATGTTGACTTGTTTTTATGATTGTACATCTTTATTTAATTCTGGTTATTAATTTCCAATACAAATTTAATGATAACTCATTTACCTCATTTCCAACATGTACATTTTTCAGATGGGCATTCATTGTTATTCTTTCAGCTCCTGGCATCATAGGTTTCTTGTCTAAGAACTGAGCTGCATATGCCATGATTCCAAGATGCTCTTCCTTCTCAGCTGCAATTTCTTTGGCTGACATCAATGGCTTGAATCCTAATTCTTTGCCTGCATACAATCCTAAATATGACAAAAATATTGTTTTTAGTTTATAAAAGTATTATTTCTTAACATACAAATTATTTAATCAATTTCAGGGATCATTGTTGGTTTACTCTGCTGCAAATTACATCTTTTTTTTTTTATTCACTCTACATGTTGGTCAGATGTGAGTAAGAAAGCAAAACCCCAAAATAAAAAAGTTGTCTTCTGTGTATGGGCTCCAAGTATCACATCATGCCCACAAAACAAATCCCTGCAAAAAATACGCAATAAAAGAAGCCAATCACAAATGTTGCTGCCAAGGGAAAAAGATGAATCTGGAAGCCACTAGATTTGCTTTTAAGAAAGCCTCACACAAATGACTGGCACAGAACACAGCCTACAAGTCATCTGTCATTCCAACCAATGAGTTCTTGATGTCACCACTGTAATTTTGGTCAACCAATATGACACACATATCCACTTGAGACCTAGGCCTCTCCTGATGTCACCACCATGACCTCAGTTGATCAAACCAACAAAACTTTAGGTCTTACATTAACTTACCTTCCTTCAGAATCACCATCCTTATACATCCACTATAACGGCAACTAAAGAACCATATACAAACAATTTTGTTATCTTTTCACACCACATCACAGGCTGGTTATTGCCGTTTTTTATTGTTATCCCATCCAATGACATATCAGCTGGATTTAAGTACTAAGAAAGCAAAACATGAAATAAAAAATTTGTCTTCCATGGAGGGGCTAAAAAACAAATACTCCCAAAAATCCAAAAATGCAATAGCCAATCATGAACAAAAACAAAAAAAAAACGTATGTCCCTGGGATACTATATCTGTTAAAACAAAGATATAAAAAACAGCACTTGTCACTTGAAGTTTGACTTAACACTTCGGCCTTATCATTAGACACCTCACCGCCAGCCTCTCTCCTGATTCCAACTGTAACCTCAGCCAAATCCTACCCCTACTGACAATGGTAACTAAGGAACCATATATGAACAATTTTTTGCCACCTTTCATACAAATATGTACATATTCTGAATTTTGACCAATACATGTTGTTGAAATTTTAATCTCTTTTTTTGTTCCTTTCCTTTGCAACCAAATGCTCATTATAACTCTGGACTAGCAAGCTTCAGTTTTTCAGTATTTTCTTTATCCTCTTTTTTATATGAGAGTTACCATCTCATTGGCCAAGAGAAAAGTATAGAGAGAGTAGGTAGAATGAGAGAGAAAAGAGATATGAGTTTTTAAGGAAAATTTAAATTTCTTTTATCTTCATGTTTCATTTTTACATTTGGGCACACCAAAAATTCTTTTTTTTTTCCAAACAGTAAGTCCTATCGCTGTGAAGTTAGTTTTGTCAGACCATAGAACAGAGTGCCAAAAACATTCAAGCTTCTTCAAAAACTCCTTTGCAAGCTTCAAATGAGAAGTGGTTCTTCAACAATGGCATCTTCTGGAGATGCCATGCCTTCAAGCCACCTCTATTGAGAGTTTGAGTAATTGTTGACATTGGAGCAAAAACTCTGATAGCTGTAAAATTGGTTTTCATCATTGAATTTGTTATGTTAGGATCATTCTAATTAACCCATTCTGAAAAGAGCTTCTTTCTGCTATCTTCCTTTTTGTTCTGCAACAAACCAGTATCTATGATGCTTCATGATGATATTACAGACAGTTGATCTAGCCATATTGAAATTCTTAGATATTGTAAGTTCTATTATTTGATATGTATTCTTATATTGTAGCCCAAGTCAGTGTTTTTTGCAATGCAATAATCAAATTGTTATATAGGTGGCCTATAACTTTGAACTGTGCTTGAAATTTTTTATCAGCTAATATTACCATATTAAACATCACCAGATGTTCTCCTTTGGCAAAATTTATGCAATGGTTGTTCCCATGATTATGACATAGGGGCATTTTCATAGAGATCTAATTTTAGCAAGAAATTCAATAAAAAACAATTTTGGACAAGGGGTGTCAATAATTATGTGCATGAATGTACATTTGAGTTGCAGAAATATTTATTTCTGATTACTTTTGCTCTCCTCATTGCTGTATATCCACATTCTTTTATATTTCTATTCTTTTAGTTATATCATTTATTTCATTAAAATGAATTAAATTTCCTTAAAATAAGGTAATAAATTTTCAGACTTACCTTTTTTGAGAACCTCTTCATTTGTTCCACTTGTATTAGATATTTTACCTCCAACAGCCCTGACAAGTTCACATATCAGTTGGCCATCATTCCAGTCAGTCTAGGAGGAGAGTAGGATCATAGGATTGTAATTATCCATATTTTTGCACATACTTTATTTTTATTAGACTTAATTTCATATCAACTTAAGTGGAAAAAAAAGACTAAAAAATAAAATATTAGAAAGATTTTTTAAAGTATGGAAAAAAAGCGTTTGAATTACCAAATAAAATTTAGTGAATATTTTCCAATTTATATTTGTTCAGATTCAAATGATTCAAAAATATCTTCTAAAGTTAACTTTGATAATAGATAGTAAAGAAACAAATACCACATCAAAATATGACATCTTGTTGGTCTATTTATTTAGATAATGAGTAAAACATATTTCATGAAATAAAAATCAAAGTTTGCATCACTACAGTTTGAAATTAATTCATGAAAAATATGAAGAAAATCAGTGCAAGAAATGAAATTACTGTGTTTTCATGAGAAATAAATGGTAAAATTTTACTGAGGGAAATTTATACATTTTTGACAGAAAATATTGCTCCATTGAAATTGTATTTTTTAGATGTGATTATAAGCATTATATATAAAAACATGTGAATATATTCTCACTTCTTTATGAAATTTAATTATTTTATTTGGCTCGATACTGTTGTTTACTTGATAATATTTTTCAGAGATTAGACTTAAATCTATACATTTTATAATTAAGTGTTCTGCTGTATATCGTTCATTGCAAGTATAGCACATAGGTGGATCTTCCTTTTTTAGTATGTAGCTGTGGATAATAGAAGTGTGACTGAGTTGAAGTTGAGCTAGTACTGATTCCACTTTTCTTATTTTTCTATAATCAGCTTTCCATTCTTTGATGTCTGGTTGGTTTCTATAGACTTTATTATTTATGTGTTTGTTCCATTTTTTTGCCATTTGTCCATTATAAATTTTTTGATAATTGGTCTGAGATTGGTATGCAGTATTTTTAGGTTTGATGGGTTCCTCTTTAATGCTTTTCTTGCTTCTTTTTTGGCATTCTCAATACTGCTAATGTTAGTAAGGCCAAGTATCTAACATACTATTATACTTTGTTCTTCTATTGGATTTTATTTAGTACTTTTGTGGTAATCAGATTTGTAGTTTTTTAAATTTTTTATTGCCACAAGTGCTGAAAAAGAATTGAAGCAAATAATAAATGTACTTTTGTTATCTCTTACTATGCCAAGAGACAAGTTGATGGCTGTGATTTCTGCTGTGTATATCAAGATATTATTAGGTAATCATTTTGTGATTTTTTTTTATTGCTAAGTATAGCAGCACATCTAAATTTATTCTCTTTTTTGATCCATCCATGTAAATCTAAGTGTGATCTGGATATATGTTCCTTTATATCTGACATTATGGACCTCACTTTCACTGTGAAATATCTTTCATTTAGAAAGTTCTCTATTATAATTGATAATCTACTCTTTAAGTTTTTTAAAACCTTCATAATGCCATATTTCCATGGGTCACTGGTTTTTTGATGTCAAAAAAACTGCAGATACACATTCTTTTCATATATATGTCTCTCTTATAAATTTTTCCAATTTAACTATTTAACTGTTTCTGAAGCTTGACTCGTATTTGGTAATTAGATTGTTAGCTTCTTGGTACCAGATTAGTCTTTTGTCAATAATTCTTTCTAGAGTTTCGTAACTGCTGCTTGTAAGGTCTATTAGTCTAAAATTTGAGGGATTTGAATATTCATCTTGAGATTTCTGGCTATAGGATTGTTTAGTATGAGCTTTTGGAATAGGTATTATGGTGGCTTGTTTTCAAGATGATGGGGTCTTACCATTGATCTATATATCATTGAATATCTTTGTGAGATATTTCATGGTTGCTGGGGAAGTTTCTTTAGAAACTTATATTGCATTTTATCATTTTCTGCTGCTGTGTTTCTTCCTGTAGTTCTTTCCTAAAGATTAGTTTGTTATAATATTCATCATTATTGGATATAAAGTTAATTTTCCTTTTCTCTGCATTTTTGCTTAATCATTTTAAATGTCTCATTTACTGAATGAATCTTTGGCAAAATATTCATCTTGCATATTTGTGGCTTCTTTGTTGTTTTCAGCTAGGTACTTAAGATGTGTCTTATTGTTTTCCACTGATATTTTCTTTATTATCTTCCAGACTGTTTATTTGGAGTTATTATTTAGTTTTGCCACAAAGCTTTACCAGGTTGATCTTTTGTCTTGTTTTATTCTTTGTCTTGCTATGGCCCGACTATTTTATATTGGTTTAGGTTTTCTTTTGTTGGTTATATTTGGAATTTTTTCAGAGCTTTGTGTTGGGTTTTGACTGCTTCCCTACATTTTTCATTAAACCATGGTTTTATTTGGTTTGGATGTCAAGTTGTATTTTGGTATGTTTTCTTCTGCAATTCCTAGTAGTGTTCTCATGAAGTAATTAATGTGATCTTCTTGACTGGTATTTGTCTCTATGTTTGAGTCTGGAGTGAGTTTGTCAAAGCAGAGTTTTTTGTATTTGTTCCAGTTGGCTTTGTATAGGTTCCACTCAGAATTAAAAGATAATTGTTCTAATATTATTGGAAAATGGTCACTGCCATAAATATCCTTGTAAATTTGCCAGTTGTATTCCAATGCCAGGGATGGGTCACACAGTGTGAGATCTTATCGCTGAGAATGTACCTGTTGCTTTGACAGGTACGCATGGGATCTATTGTCATATAAGTATAGATTGTTTGCATCAATGAACTTTTCAATGATCTTTCCTCTTTGGTTTGTTTTTTGGTTGCCCCATAGGTGGCTATGGCTATTTAAGTCTTCCATCAAGATGAAGGATCTTGGGAGTTGTTGTATTAGGTTGTTTAATCCTATTTCTGATATTTTGTCGTCATGGTAATCATTCTGTGCAGTGTGGTTGTTATTGCCATTGCTTATGAATTGGTTTGAAGTTGGATTTGTTTATGGGTTATGTTGTTGCTTACAAGCACTGATGTACCACATAAAGTCCTGTTATTTTGGCTGAAATATGTATTGTAAATGAAGTAATTGTTCATTTGCTTATACTCTGTAAGAAAGGTTACTTGTAAACATATAGCTTGGTCATAATTAGTATGAGTGGAAATTTGAAATTTGCTTTCATACCTCTAATGATCCATTGTAATATATCTTTGGTTATCATCTTAGGTTTATTGATTTTAGTAGGCATATGCATATTTTATTTTTGTTTCTGGGATGACATTATGATTCTTGTTTCTTTGATGTTTTTTTTTTTAATTGTAAATGTCCTTCCGTAGTAAGTGGTGATGATTTGTAAGGTATCTGCTTGAGGGTTTTTAATTTATGTTTCTGAAAGATTCGTGAGGTGATCACTAGTCCGGGAGTTGTTATGGTTGGGCTGTTTTTGTATTTCAAGTATTGAGTTTTAGTTTTGGTTTGATTTCTTCAATAAACCTTGGCCAGTCTTCTGGCCTCAGTTGTAGTAGTTTCTGAATAAGATTCTTGTATTTCTGTTCCTGCTTTTGTCTGTCATTTGTGATAGTTTTTACTACTAGTGAAGATTTTTTTCTTTACTTATAGCATCTATAATTTTTCTCCCTTCCAAGAAGAAAATGTTCTTGGTGTATTTTAGAGTTAATATATTTTTTTTGCATTTTTCACAAACTCTTGCTTACACTGGATGACATCCATCACAGTTTGCACATTTGCATATTTCTTGGCATTGGTCTATGGAGTAGTCAGGATCTTTTTCTCTGCAAGTTAAATATTTTTAAGCATAAGCTTTTTCACCAAATAAGGTTCAAGGTACTTCTGTAAGCAATATTAACAGCCATTTATACAGTCATGAAAGAACTGAGGGCCCTGAGGATTTAACCATGTCAAAGCAGCTTTTGCTTCTGTCCATCTTGTTATCAATATGTACTGTGTTTTTCCTCATTAAGTGTCCTAGAAATTTTAACTGCTTTTTTCTGATCCTAAGCAAAAGTGTGCTTTCTGTTCCCATTTCTCTTAAAACTTCATCTATGAAGAAGATTGTTCAGCATTCACTACCATATAAGAGGCATATTACATAACAGTTAAGCACTCTTATCTTTGTTTCCAACAAAAATCTTCTGCTTAATATTTTGTTTAATTTTTAGAAGATATCTTTCACTATTCCAATATACCCTCAAATACCTGTGTCACATTTTCCATCATCTGTTAAAGCATTCCCAAATCGTTAAATTTCTATATTTGCTTTATTTTGACATCTTCAATATGTAGCTTATCATCTTGAGCAGTCCCTGTTTCTAATCACCATACATTCTGTCTTCTCACAATTGATGGTGAATACTTTCTTCTTGTTTTTCTTTACTACTTTACCTGCAGTTTTCTTTCTATATCTGCCATCAATATATACATCATTTGCATGTCTTAAGGTTTTAAGGTTGTATCTACCAATAATAAATCCTAGTTTTAGTTCTCTTAAAATCATCTCACTGTATAAGTTAAATAAGGTGAGAAGACACAACTTTATCTTACAATCCCTTATATTTTTGTGTACTTGATCTAGTTTTTTTTATTCATATGCAAGTAATTTGTTCCCAGTAAATGTTCTAGAATGTTTCCTGGATAAATCAAGGTTTTTCTAACAGTTTGAATAGATTCTTGTGTTATACCTTATCAAATACTATCACATAGTCTATGATGCACAGGTATACATCCTTCTGCATTTGTATTGCTCACTGTGGTAGGGAAGGATAAGACTCTAGGAATTGAAAGGTTGGGAAGGATAAGACTAAGAAATGATGAACTACAATATGAAGTATGCTTAAGGTTATTACCCATGTTTGTCCCATTGCTAATTCTGATCTTCAATCACCGGATGGAACAGAAGTGTATTTCTCAACATTTCACCAGAAGTGTGGTGAAGCTGCTACATAAGAACCTACATAGTAATGAGGGTATCTGTAATTTTTAGTCCTTAACTATGCTAAATACAAGATCTTAGCAAACTAACTGCAAGTTGTCATTGATCATCCAATATCCCCTAAGCAGTTCTGTGCTA